GTGTGTGTGTGTGTGTGTGTGTGTGTGTGTGTGTGTGTGTGTGTGTGTGTGCAGCGCGTGTGTGTGTATGTGTCCAAACGTGTGTGTTCTCCAGCAAACAAAAAAATTACCACTGGCCACCTGGTTGCCAAGCATGAGGTCACATAGTTGTGAAAATAAAATAACGAACGACGATATTGACTCATTTGCATATTCGCACCCATGCTTCAAGAGGAAATTTCCGTTGTGTGTGCGGGGCCCACAGCACGTAATTTTATTGTATTTCATGATCTCTTCCCAGGTGAGCACCCGCCATTTCAGTTTATTCACCTGCATCCAGAGGTCTTCCACTACCAAACTGAAAAAATGGCTTCAGGTTGCGGTGTTCACTCGAGAACTACACCCTAAATGTCAGCACCACGAGATCAGGGTGTACTTTCTCAACCGTACACCGTGCGCCCTCCAGTGGGCGATTCAAAATGAGGCTTCTCATGACTTCCGGTTGGCTTGCCCAGTCATGAACTTCCTGTTTGAGGAAATCGGAGAATCGATGATGGTAAGTAACTTCTTAAAAGTGGGAACGGTATGTGTTGATTGGTTGGTTGTTTGATTAGTTGGAAGACGGGTTGCTTGGTTAGTTGGTCGGTTTGTTGTGGTCTAGTCGGTGGGTGGATTGGCTGGTTGGCTGGTTGAAGTGTTTGTTTGCTGTTGTTTTGTTTTGGGTTTTTTTGTTTCTTGCTTCGTTGATTGGTGGGAGTGTTAATTACCTGCTTACTTGGCCTGGTGGTAGATACAGTAGTTGTGTTCTCGTATGTTTGCAAAACTTTTCGTTTTAAGGACAACTATTGATGTCAACTAGCTATCGATTAATAATGATGTACGTCATTTAACATAACAGAATAAGTTTGTCTTATACATGTAGTAGACTTTTGGATACGGTATGAGCTATTAGTAGAGTCGATTTCTTGCTTCATTGATCTTGTTTTTCTGATTGTCAGGAAATCTTGATAAAAATCGATGAAAAGATATGTCCCATGTTGGCAACATGTTCTGTGCCATTTTATTAATTACACGCACGCATGCACCCTCCCTCCTTTAACCCTCACACCCTACCCTCATATGCACAGACACACACACACACACACACACACACACACACACACATACATACATACATACATACATACATACATACACACACTTACACACATACAATATACATGTATACACACACAAACGCACACATACACACGCACACACACACACACACACACACACACACACACACACACACACACACACACACACACACACACACATACACACACGCGCGCGCTGTGAGCGTGCTGTATGTGTAAATATAAACAAACCAACTAAGACATTCCCGTTTCAAGGTACAAGAAAAAGAAATCAGAAGACATCTATCCAGTAGTACTTACCTTACCTTTGACTCATTCTAATTCAGGTGCAAGTTGCATACCTGTCCGAGGGATGGGCTATGGTCAGTGACACAGTTGGCCACAGTGTTCTAAGGGAAGTTGCTTTTGAGAACATCTGGCACGGGACATGTCCTCATGCACCACTCTGCTTCCGGAGGTCAAACCAACTCAGTGAAGGGCCAGGTCCGACCCAGGTCAATCCAAGTTTAGGCCAGGTCACACCAGGCTCAAGGGCAGCTCTCACGAAGTCAACCTCAGACTCGGTCTCCTCGACGAGCGCAGTATTCGATCAGACTGGAGACAGAGGTGGGACTGGGACAGGGGTCGTTGGCTGTTCTCCTGATGCAGAGTTTGAGCACCGGGAAAAACGTAGTGCTGATATTGAAGAGGCTCGTGCACCAAGAGTGGTGCTCAGCAATATGGAAGGGTCGGATAAATCTGTACTAAATGGGCGGGAAAATGTTGACCAACAGAAAGGCAAAGGAAAGCGTTCTAGAAAAGAGACAAGTCCATATGTAAATGTGGACATCCAGTATAACCGAGACCACGCAGAGTCCAGTCGTAGAGCGAGCCAGTCCAGTAGGTCGGAGTTCGAATCTCTGCTGATGACGAGCAGGGAGTGCAACAATGACGTGGACGACGACGATGAAGAACCGCCGGGGAGCGGACGAGAGCACGACCAGAGGAAGGAGCGGGAGATCAACATCGACCTGCGTCTGTACCAGCAGCTCTGCAACAACAAATCTGCGCACGTCAATGTCCTCTTGTTCCACACCGCTGGCCACCAGCTGGGCATCTCGGTCCCAAAGTCAGCTGTGCTGTAACTGTCGATGACGTCAGCTGTGCTGTAACGGTTGATGATGTCAGCTGTGCTGTAACGGTTGATAACGCCAGCTGTGTTCTAACCGTTGATGACGTCAGCTGTGCTGTAACGGTTAGTGACGTCAGCTGTGCTATAACGGTTGATGACGTCAGCTGTGCTCTAACTGTTGATGATGTCAGCTGTGCTCTGACTATTGATGACGTCAGCTGTGCTCTGTTTATGACGTCAGTTATGCTCTGTTTATGACGTCAGCTATGCGCTAACTGTGGATGACGTCAGCTATGGTCTAACTGTTTATGACGGCCCTCGTTTTCCAGTACGTGGTGACTCGAACCGTACGGTCGTGGGTTCGAATCCCGATAGGGGCTCGACTTTGTATCCCTGAGAAAGACAATTTACACGAATGTTCCTGACTTCACCCAGGTGAGAATGGGTACCCGGCTATAGACAGCGAAAGATTTTGTCAGTTTGCTATTATTTGAGCGCTTAAAGTGCTGCTTGCACTGCATACTTCCCGGGAAGCTGAAAATGTTTCTGAGTTTTCTGTGGTCTGTTGTAATATAATTAAAAGCGCACAGAGCATCCTCTTGATCTTGAATGTGCGCTATATAGGTTTCCTTTTCTTTATTATTATTATTAGTAGTAGTAGTAGTAGTAGTAGTAGTAGTAGTAGTAGTAGTAGTAGTAGTATCATTATCATTATTATCATTAATATTACCGTAAATCATGGCGTCAATATACTTTTTTCAACCTAAAGATCAGTATTTCAGCATCGACTTCCTGCGTTTTATTCAAGAGATGGGAAATTAGAAGTGGTTGATCCTTGTTGCACTGTACGGAAAACAAATTCAGGTGGGGGGTTTTAAACTTTTGTTTGTATCTGTTTTGTTTTGTTTTGTTGTTGTTTTTTGCGGGTTGGGTATTTTTATTTTTTATTTTTTTTGGTTGGTTTGGTTTTTTATTGGGCTTTTTTTTAAAGTGTGGGTATTAATGAAAAAACCACCAACATGAAGTGATTGTGGTTGCCATAAAAGAAAGTTTGTGTGTCTTATGCGAGGAATATGATTGTGATTTGTACCAAAGTTTGGCTCTCGTGTCTACCACCTGCGTCTTATCCGCGTATGAACCACATAAGCGATGACATACAGTATTTATTAAGTATGTTCGATTTAATGTGATATGCTTCAGTAGACACAATAAAATAGAACCTGCCTTATGTGGAGAAATATTGGTGGAAATTATAACCATGGCAGGTATTGTAATTTGGGGTATTGTTATGAAAACTATACATGTACAATGTGCGCTTTGTTTTGTGTGAAATCAGGTCTATTTTTTCTCATGTATAATACTTTGTTTTACGTACACATTTGTGTCGATTAATTTTTAAGATGTGATGTCTTTTTCATTGTAATGCGCATTGAGCATCTTTTAGGAAATGGAAATGCGCAGTATAAATGCTATTTATTATCATTATTATTATTATAGTGTGTTGTTATATTCCGATTATTGTATATGTATTGCCTACAGTGCCCTGTTTGGTGCCAAGCGAGGGGTGTTATGTTTTAACGCCACTGATTTTTGGACAAAACGTTATACTTAATACGGAGTGCTTATTAGCCCACAGGGGCATATAAAATGTCCCTAGAACATTAATTATTTGCCCACAAAATTGCGAGTTGTCTCCCCCCAAATCCACAAGTGATAATTTCAAGTGAAAATACAACAGTAAAATCCCCATTAAATATCAGAGAAATTATTTTATATTATAATTATACACTTCTCTAAGGCTTAAGTTAATATTATATTTTACACCTAGTCTAGGTCTAGATCTAGAATGACCCCCAAACCAACAAGATCCCAAAAGATAACAAAAACTCATTTGTGTTTATTTAGGATACAGAATGCTAATAGTAATAGCCGTATTTATTATTTCTTATTTAATCTTAATAATCAAAAATTATTAAAACTAGAGAAAGAACGAAAAGTCCTCTCATCTTCAAAAATAGCTAAAAAAAATTAGTCCATCAATCACATATTTTAAATTGAGAATGTATAGTTTTCCAATCTAATGCTAAAAATAAAAAGATGAACAATAGCTAAGAAGTTAGAGAACAAGTTGGGACAATACCATGTATGAAATACATTGAAAAACAACGCATTAAATGGCCCATGTGGGCCAATAAGAGCAGCCTACTTAATATTGGGGCTACGCGCCTTTCAGATAGTATATTTCTTTTCTGAATAGTCGTATTCTAGTGTTGAGTACTTTAAATGCTAGAGCTTGGAATGACAATGCTTTTTTTTTTTCTTTTAATCACCTACTAAAAAGTATTCGTAACCCAATTGAGACATTAACAAATAATATGTCCCAAAATAACTTAACTTACTTCTTTTTCATTTCTGAATTTACGCAGCCTACGGAATATGTGGAAAGAAATTGAAGTAGGTTGGCTCTAAAGTAACTATATAATGTACATGTAAATTAGTTTTTTAAACTATTTTTTTAGAAACGTATGTTAAGGTTTGGACAGTACTTCAACAGCACCGTGACGACATTTGTTGATGACGATGATGATGATGATGATGATGATGATGATGATGATGATGATGATGATGATGATGATGATGATGATGATGATGATGATGATGATGATGCAGGGGTTGGCGTTGGCGTTGGTATATTGTTTCAAAACAAGCACATTAGAAAAATGAACAAATATTAACCGAACATTTGCTTATTAGTATTAGTATAAGTATTAGTATTAGTATAAGTATTAGCACTAGTATTACTACTATTATTTTTACTATTATCATTATTATAACTATTATTATTATTATGATTATCATCATCAGTAGTAGTAGTAGTAGTAGTAGTAGTAGTAGTAGTAGTAGTAGTAGTAGTAGTGGTAGTGGTAGTGGTAGTGGTAGTGGTAGTGGTAGTGGTAGTAGTAGTAGTAGTAGTAGTAGTAGTAGTAGTAGTGGTAGTGGTAGTAGTAGTAGTAGTAGTAGTGGTAGTGGTAGTGGTAGTGGTAGTGGTAGTGGTAGTGGTAGTAGTAGTAGTAGTAGTAGTAGTAGTAGTAGTAGTAGTAGTAGTAGTAGTAGTAGTAGTAATATCATAATCATTGCTATTATTCTTTTGTCTTTCATGCTCTTCCTTTTGCAAAAAAAAAACGTCAAAGGAAGGGATTTTTAAGTCAGACTGAGTCAAACTCATTGAACTTTTGTATATGTTTGTTCTATTGGCCTCCGAAGTACAGAAAAGATTATGGATCTGTTGTTATACGTTAGGTAAGTGCAGGTTTTATTTCTGAATGACATCAGGCAGGCGCCTAGTTATACTTCATTATCTTTTATGAAGCCACACAAGGCAGTACGTTTAGGTGAGGCCTCGAGCAAGTTCTGTGGTAAGAAAAAAAATAAAAAATTGATATACTCTTGTGTCGAAGGTTGTTTGCTACCCCCCCCCCCCTCCCCCCCCCCCCCCCCCCGTGTCCTGATTTTGGTGCCCGTTTTTGTTGGTTACGTAAAAAGAAAGTAATGGTGCAGATTGTTATATGAAAGGGGAATTGTTGAGTCGGTAATGATGATGATGTTGGTGATAATGATGATGGTGATGATGATGTTGTTGGCGATGGTGACGGTAATGGTAATTGTGATGGTGAGCATGAGGATGATTATTTATGTTGGCGATGATAATGTTCTGATGTAGGAGATGACGTGCGTATTAGTCTTAGTGTTAAGTCTGTTTGGTGCTTACTCTAGATCCCCGCCAGGCTGTCCTGAGGGGCAGGACGCAACGACCGCGAATGACACCATTAAGTCTGACTAAGAGTATAATGAAGGTAAAGAGATGTTAAAAAGTACAAATTGCATAATTAAATTACGTAAACACACAAACACTCACACGCACACACGCAACCACACACACACACACACACACACACACACACACACACACACACACACACACACACACACACACACACGCATAAACACACACACACACACATTTGCACACACACACACACACACACACACACACACACACACACATATAGTTAAGTATAACAGTCTTCCACTTGAGCTCGCTCTCAAGCGGGAACGAAACAAAAGAGGCATGAGATGGAGACTGGAAGCCTAGCCTTTAGCTCTTAGCCCACAATTGTCTGAGACTACATTCACTCTCATAAAGTTCTATGATATGTCTTGCTTTCCCATACTTATATTTAGATACAGTTAATTTCCCGATTGCAATAGCTGTATTTGTTACCGGTAACCCCCATTCCAGGTGACCTACATCGATTCCCTTCACTGCTCCAAGTAAAACGATTTTCTCATTAAAATTATAATTGATGTACCTAGATGGACCTGTAAATCTTTTTCAATTTCTCTCCAAAGAGGCTGGACCTTCTTACAATTTAAAAAAATGTTCTATAAAACCAGGCTCACTACAATATGCGCAGTTTTGGGATTCCTTTAATTTCATTTTAAAAAGAGTAGTGCGTTAGTGGGATAAATATTATGTAGTACTTTCCAATTTAATGTTGTCAAACGTGTTTCCCTAGCGTGATGGACTATTTGCCAATGTTTTTTATTAATATCAACGCCATATTTTCTTTTCCAAATACATGTACCTATGCACAGTGGTGGCTCAATTTTACTTAATGCTAAAAGAAAACGTTTTCTCCCTATAGTACCTACAATTGCGTCCCTGAAATAGTAGTTGTCATCCTTTTCATCATTAAAATACACATTCCTTATCGCATTTGATATAATATTGTAGTCTAAAACACATCGTGGATTGCATCCATATTTTGCTCTAAACTCTTCTAAAGACTGTAACTGTCCATCCTGGGTTATATCCTTTATTGCTAAAATGCCCCTTTGTATACAAGATGGTAAAAAGAGGGTTTGATTTTTATAGATTATATATTCGATATTAAAAATAGAGTCGTTTAACGAGAGGACATAGTCTGTGTCTTTATTAGAATATTCTAACCATTTAATTACCACTCTTCTCCAAAACTTACTACATATAGCGTCGAGCCCTTTAAATTTATTCGCTTTTACCTTGCTTCTAAAAACCTGCAACCCACGAACATCTTTGAGTACAGCGACTGCCAGACTTTTCCATCGTTGCGCTTTTGGAGCAAGAAGTGCCTCCGCCCAGCTCAAGAGAATGGAATCTTGAAAGTTAGTCATGTTAATCATTTTCAGACCTCCGTTTTCAAGCTCGTTACACATAAATTTCCGTTTAACTTTTTCAAAGGCCCTTTAAATGTTAAAACGCTTTTTCCACAGAAATCTAAAAACAATTCTGTTCACTTGGCTAAGGTCATCTTCTGGTAACGATATGTTTTGCATTACAAAAAGAAACTGCGTTATTCCAAAAGTCTTAATTAAGTGCATTTTCCCTAGAATTGATAGATCTCTTCTTGCCCATTTCCCAAAACTTCTGAGGAGGGTATCGATCCTGGGCTTCCAGTTTTCTTCTAGTTCTCCCGCCGGTTTTGTACTGCTAAAATACAATCCAACAATTGTAATAATGGTTGGAACAAACTGAATCGGAAATTCGTCTATAGTTACGGCTTGGCCGTTTGTCAACATGGCATAAGAT